TAGCAGCTGGACCTGCTTGAGTTCCTTGAAGACGTTCCACCTTCATCCAAGAGGCTTCATCAGCTCTGACTGACCGGTTGGGAGTTCCACATACTGATATCCTGAAGGACACGTTAACACCTGGGTTTGGGTTTCATTTGGGGGTTTGTTGCTCCTCCCCCTCGTTATGTGACTCGTTAGTGCTCCCCCTGACACAGTGAGGTTCGTTAGGGTCTCTGTGGCTCGGTGTGGATGTGGGTTCATCTTCCTGGGGAGAGATCTGAGGACTGAACTGTAAACAGGTGAGAGGGGATGCCTCAGACCTCCACCTCTGCTGAGGGGTGGTCTTTCCAGTTCGATGCTTCTTTCACCCCCTCTCAAACTGTCTGTCCTCCCTGCAGGACAACATCAGGGACATAAACAGAGCAACGCAGTCCAGTGCAGCGAGGAAAGCCCAGACCTGGAAATCAGGGAGACTAAACCACCGCTCCACAAGGCATGGCTCAGCACAGAAGCTCCTCAGGACAGGACTCAGCATCCACCTGCATCTCAGGGACAAAGGACTCTCATCTGAAGACAACGTCCAGATGTTGGGCTGCAGGGAGGACAGACGGTCGTGTCTGCAGTGTGTGGTATGTGGAACTCCCAACCGGTCAGTCAGAGCTGATGAAGCCTCCTGGATGAGGTGGAACGTCTTCAAGGAACTCAAGCAGTCCAGCTGCTACGATTAAGCTATGAGACTTAGACTACAGATACTCAGTATTGATTACTGATACTGATCGATGCTCTCAGTCAGTGTCCGCCGGTCAAAATGAAGCAGATAGAAAAGCTCTGATTAAAGCCGGTCCGGTTCTGATCCGGTCACGTTACCTGGACGTTCGGAGCCGCAGAGGGGGAGAAGGACTGAGGCCGCCGGAAACCGTCTCCTCTGCGCCGCCGCTGTCCGTCGAAGCACCGGGACCCGCCGCCGAACCCGCGCGGAGAAGCGCCCCGGTACCCTCGGTTGGAGTCTGGGGAGTAAACAGGAGAACCGGGAGAGAAAGGGGGGCAGCCCCGGGGGGAGCCTCCGTACGGGGAGCGGGCCCCGGGGAAGCCCCAGCAGGGAGCCGGGGAGGGATA